CTCTGTCACGCAGCAATCCGCAGCCTGACGGAACTCTTCACTGCGGCAATTCAATCAGGAGACTACAGAGGGTTGAAAAGGTTCAGAGAGAAGCAGTCCATGCTTCCCTCAACACTAGTGAGGGCAGGATGTCTCTGCTCGGGAAGCCCTTGAGGGTGACAGCACTAACCTCACCTCCCACTCCCCAGTCAAGAGTGGGCGATGTTACTGGGGACAAGGAGGATTCAGGCTGCACTGATGTTAATGCCACAGGTTTTAAGCTGCTCTTAGCCACTTCTAGCAGTTGGAGATAGTACCTTTTCTCCAAGGATGTCAGGGTTTCCCCCCTTGGCCCCATGAGAAGGGAAGAAAACCACTGGTCACCTGTACAGATGGGGGGACTTAACCTGGGACAAGGGAGAAGGAGGATGCTTAGTGTAAACATCACTACTGCACCTGAAACTACTCTTTTCTTGCTAGCTTTTAGATTCAAGACATAAAATCAATTCCCTGGGCACGCCCGAGCCCCAGTTCCTTCTCCAGCTGGGGGGAGTGCCCTTTGCAATACCTGTACTGCACAGGAGGACAGAGAGGATCCTGCTGGGTTGGTTTGTCTACAGGATCATCTCGCAACTGACTATATGCACACATTTACTTCAGAAGAGTCCCTTAGGGAGAAAGTTTCACTTTTCAGCACTCTTATTGGTTCCTATCTGCTCACATGATTATTTTTTTTAACTGATAAAATGTTTGCACACATAGATTTTATTTTAATCTTCTTTTGTCTTTTTCCCCTGTCTTTCCCCAGGTTAAGAGGGGAGGATGAAGTGATGCTGCCATACAGTGTCCCCCACAGACTGTTGCCGTGAACAGCCATGACACCTGCTTGCAAGAGGAGGGACAAGAGCCACCTCCAGCGCTACTCGCCCGCAGACATGGGCCAGGAGATAACTACAGGGAGAAGAGGCCTTCGCTTGCTGATGATGGCCTCACCCCAGCTAGAGCCAGATCACCCCGGGGTGCTTAAAAGGAGCCAAGACAGCATGACACAAGGTATGACGTTTCTCAGCTGGTGGGGAAGAGGGGACGGTGCCTCCCAGCAAGGCATGGTGCAACAACGGCACTGTGAGTCACTGATGGTTTTTCTCCAGCTGGAAGCAGAGAAAAGTTTCCCCATCGTCAGTCCTACGCACGCACATACCCACACCCACCTCCGGCAAGGTCAGAAATAGCACCCAGCACACATCCCAACACTCACGCACTGGCTTATCACGGAGATGAGAGGCTCAGCTTCTCATTTTCCTCCCTGTTGCAAAATCCTACAGCAGGAGCCTACCAGCTCACGGAGGTTGAGCAATGTCACCCCAACAACGCAGGAGAGAGGCTTTAGCAAGTGTCACCTCGAGCCCCGGGTCCTGTCCCACGGTCCACTGCCACACTAAGCCATGCCCCATGTCAGAGAGGGACGGCAGGGAGAGGCTCGCAAGGGATTTGCACTGTGGAGCCTACAGGTTGGTTCCCCCTCACTCAAGCTTGGCAGGCATCGAAAGTCCTCTTCACCCCTCCTTGCCAAGCCTGGGACCATGCTGCCTGGACAGGATCAGGAACCTGCCCTCCCACCTTCTCACCAGCAGGCCGCTACCAAAGCTGGGTGAAAAGAATTGTGGAAGGGCCCAGCATCATCAGCAAAGACAAACTTGGGACACTTTCCTGCTCGACCCTGTGGAAATGATCTCCAGATCATCACTGCGTCCTGCAAGGAAAGGGATCTGAAGTCTTACCTCTGTGGTGTCATCAATCAGGGGATAAAGCCCCAAGATTCAAAATGGGATGTGGTTTGATCAGTAAATTTGATCTCCTGAATCACACTACAGTGATTCTAAGGCATTTCACGTTAACTACGAACACAATCAACCCAGCATCTTCAACCACTCACTGAGAGGTCTCCTCCATGCCTTAGGCTAAGCAACATTGGCAACAGCACTGGGTGGCCCAGCCCTAAGGCTGCAGGGTGACCTGGATCCTCACATGATCATTCGCTTTCATAATTGCAGGAAATTGCAGTTTAGGCTATGTGCAGAGGGAAGTGTCCGTACCCAACAGGAGTGTTGATAGCTTCAAGCATCTCAGAAAGATCTTGCAGGGACATGCCCCAGGGAGCAGCACGAGGAGGGGATGAGCCAGGAGCCAAGGGGGCTCCAGCACTGGCCATGCCCTCCCCAACAGGGCACAGTCCCACGGAGTCTCAGCATGGCCAGCAGAGCCAGACAGAACAGGGATCCATTAACAGCCCCAGACACAGCGAGGTGATGAACCAGGACCAGGGTCCCTCCAGGGAGCCTGGTCTGGAGTAGAAGAAGGGGCTGGAGACAAAGCCACAAGGCAGGTTCAAGGTCCATGCAGTAGCCAGGGCTGAAGATAAAGACTTATCTAATGCAGCTTAGATGGGGACAGGTGACCCAGGCTTAAGCTTAAATGAGGTTGTAGGCCATGGGCAGAGGAGGTGTGTGGGTGAGGGTCCCAGATAAGGTAAAAAAGCCAAAGGCAACCTGTACCCCATTTCCCAGCACTGTCTGGGCTTTTCAGTTCTCGTGGCAAAGCTGCTTTTTGTCATAGACTCTCACATACACAAAATGCTCTCCAAAAACGCCCGCTAGGCCGAATGCTGCCAGCCCCATCAGGTGGGATCAACGCTGCTGCTTGTTCACGCTAAGGAGCATAGAGCATACAGCGCTGTCTTCAACAGAGCATGACATAGTTGCGGCACACCAGTAATGTCCACAGGCTCCAAAAACATGATGCCTTTCACAGCGCTGCGTCTCAGCTGTGCTTTGCAGAGCAGGAAGCTACAAGTCCCTGTGAGTACGGGTTTGCAGTGCAGGCACTTCCAAGGAGAGCTATGCTTCTCAGCCGGTTGGCCCCAAATCTCTCCCCGGCTCAGAGCCAGGAAAAAGCTTTGGCTTCACGAGCTGCAGCAGCAGCAAAGCTCTGACCCCCCTAAGTTTAAGGAGGCACAACCCCAGAATTGATCTGTCAGATGCAAGAACAGCATAACAAGAGACAGCCTGAAACAAGCACCACTCTCGCTGACATCTGTCACCAACATTTGAAGAAGGCAGGCAGCAAACACAGCTAAAAACGAGGGCTCGGTGTTCAGCTGACCGAACTACCACCAGCCAGCCGAGCAGAAGGACCTGCCAAGTGACATGCTCTTGGCAGGGGAACTTCCACTACAGCTCTTTGCCTGTTGCAAACAGACAATAACACAGCCCACAGCGGAAGGTGCTCAAATTAGGTCAGCCTTTTCCGCATTTGCTCTGAGTGGAGAGCTCATAAGGACAATCCCCAAGGCCAACACTCAGCAGCTCGTGAGGGTGGGGTGAGCTGTGCTGTTCACTTGAGCTCGTAACACCCCAACTCCCATCTTCTCTGGCACCGCCACTCTTCCCTTACGCTGTTCGGAGCTGCTGGCTGATGAACACAGCTGAAGGTGCACTCCCAGCGAGCGGCATTTCCCACTAGAAGATTGTTGTCTGGTTACTTACTCTGGTTTTGCTCTCCTTCATTAGTTTTGAGTCCAAAGATGTGGTTGTGTTAGCTCTCATCGAGGTACCCTGGATTTAGAAGGTTGCTTCTGGGGAACATTCACATCCACAGAACAAAGCCAGGGTTTGTGGACAAGACCCGGTTTGCCATAAACCTACGCTGGCTAATAATGATGTTCCTTTCTTTCTTATCAGTTATCTACTTACCACCAATTACTAACTTTCCTATTGTTTTTGCACTAGGCTGTCCTCAGGCTAAGTAGGTTACAGGTATCAGGGTCATCTGTCCTTCCTGATGCAGGCACAGTATTTCCCTGCAATACAAATTCATCACAGCGTAACAAGAAACACCTCAGCCAGCTCTCGGGTGCTGATCCTCTCTGCCTGATGATCTGAAGGTATTTGCCCCAATCAGACATAATTCAAACTCCCCCCAGTTAACACAGAGCCAGACGACAGTTCAGCTTCCCCACACAAGTCTCTCAGGCTTGTCACTGGTCCACTCCAGGCCTTTCTACACCCATCTCTGCTCACAAAGGGAAGCTAGGATGGGTCAGGCACATGTGCTGAAGAAGCTGTTTCTCCAGCTCCACCGGTTACAGTTCAAGTTCTCAATGCAGTGAGCCACGCTAGTGCTTGGACTGGAAAGAAAGCCCCAGGGCTTTCCAGGCAGAAGAGCCAGGGATACAACAGGGCAACCGACAAAGACCAGATGTCAGACGAAGGAAGGCTTCCTAAAACACCTCAAAGGCAGTGCAGGAAGGCACTCGAGTGGTTAATTCTTACACAACACTGCTGCATGAACACACACAGTCCTGGCAACACAACAGTAGAGCAGCCAGGGCCCAAAATGATCACAGCCCTAGTACAAGCTTTGGCTCATCTTCACAAGATCAAGCCTTGCAAAATGCAGTGTTTTCAAGAGCAGAGTGTTTCTTCAGTCACAACAACTAAGGACTTCCATCGCTTATTCAAAACCCGAATCCAGGTTAAGGGACAGGGAAGCACCGTTTATCTCCGCTGTGGTCAGGACCCCTCATCACCCCATTTTTTGGGCATGACAGACAAGTCACAAGTAGGAGCAAACCCTCCCTCCAAGGCAGCAGAAGCTCAAAGAAAACCCCCACACCACAGCAATTATCAATTGTTTTTCTGTTTACAGTAGTCACTTAACAGGCATACTAAGGGTTTGTTGTTTTTTTTAATTGGAATTCTGATGTTGGAGTTACTTTATTTGGAAGGCTGCAGGAAAACCAAAACAGCTGCTCTAAAAAATAATTACAAAGGAGAAAAACAAAGTTGAGATCATACTGTGCTTTAAAGGAAAGTTACATAGTTTAACTTGCATAGCACAAGCATACATAAGTAGCTGAGTTAACAGGCATTGATACAGCCCATCTCAATTTCTGTTATTTTGTTTTTTTGCTTTCAAATATGAGCAACTGGTTGCTGGTCTCTGCTGGAACCAAGGTAGGCTTACTTGCAGCTAGTGGACAGTAGTTTAGTTTCGTTTAGCCAAGGAATAGTGTACACTACAAAGGTGCAAATGTTGTGCTAAGGAGAGAAAGAAAAAAACAGTTGTCAGATTAAGAACATAAAACATTGTCTTTGACTGTGGTTCTACACTGATTTACTAGCCCACATGACCCAGAATTATGCCACTTTCATGGCTCTCTAGACTAGCATTCTCCTGGCAAGCATTCTGGAACACCACTCTTGCTAGTACTTGCTCAGGATAAATCATTTCTCTTGAAGAAACACTAGCAGAGAAGCTGGGCAGTCAGCACTTCTGAAGATCAGGTTACCGCCTTTACCCATTCACACACAGGAAAGCTTTCAGCATGAACAATACTCCAGCATAAGCTCTCAGGCACAGGTAAGCACACCTGCACAGCTAACCTGTATGTGCATGAGTCAAACCACTGCAGCTGTCGTAATGGTACACACACACTTCCTAGGAGCTTAACGGATCACTTCTGTGCAGTTCCAGTTCTCTTACATACAGGCAAGAAAGGGCCTGTACACAGGGAAGCTAAGCCTATCACTGTAATTAATACAAGTAATGAAGTACTATGGAAGAACTAGATTCAGGCCAGATCAAGGCAGGCATATTTGGTGCTCTCCTCTAAAAAGCTAAAGCACTCATTAAAAAGCACTGCTATCAGACAAGACTCCCATGTAACTGCCCCTGTTCTCCGTGCCCACCAAGCTATCTGCCTCTTGTGATCAGTGCTTAGCCCAAAGCACTACTCACAGTAATTCAAGAACCCCAGGAAAGCACAGTAAGTCAAGCATGTTTACATCACCATGTGACATGAGGAGCTCAGAATGGTATGGGGAGTCAGGACACTGAGCTTAGAGCCAGGAGACCTGTAGGCTTGCAGAGTTTCTGCCACATACCCTTCTGTGATTCAGACCACAGGCACTTTAAGAGGACTGAAGCATGCACAGTCCTTCATGCATTACGGCCTCACATCCCCACTTACAAAACAGGCTAAAAGGCCCTGCCTTCTCTGTCACCATCATCTGGCAAGACAAGTTCTGCAAGGGCAGTATCTTGTTAAATGTAAAAACACAAGGTCTCCAGTCTTGACTGGGCATCCTGGTTTTGGTCAAAACGTAACAATTTCTTTTAGCGAATCTTCCTTACAGCTAAGTTCTGTTCTAACCAAAACCGGGACACTGCCCGCACCTCCCTGTGCTAAGCCAGCCAGAGGGAAGGGGTTGGAAACCCAGGGGCCAGCACGCCGTGCTCTGGAGCCTACCTTCGCCATCTGCGGTGCCTCATGCAAAGCGCAGCTCTGGAGATCAGTTGCTGGCTTGGGGCAAGTTGTCCGGCCAATCTCAACTTCTATCGTGTACTTGAGTCCAGACACAATCTGCAACGAGACAAGCAGGCAGAAACAGCTTTATTTACAGCTTATACAGAGGGGCTCTCAGATGAGGGAAGCCTAGCAAGAAAGCTGACAGTTTTCAGGTTACACAATGGAAACCAGACTCCAGAAGTGCAGAGGGGACTGTGCGTGGCAACCTCCACAGCAGGAGCCCTGGGCACCCTTTCAAAAACAGGAAACAAAATCCAAGTAAACAAGTCTCACAGTGCAGCTTCCTCAGCCAGTAAACAGAGGCATGTGTTAGCTCCCCAGCAGCCTAAGCTACCAGCTTCCTCAACAACACACAGCACTCAAGGGCATTCACATCGATCAGACACAAGCTACAAAGAACAGGCTTTTATTCACCCTCTGTGGGGAAAAAAAAAACACCAGCTTTAAAACCCCTTCAGCTTGAGGCCTGCTCTTTCCAAAGAGACACCCCGCAGGCCTCGCTTCCCGCTGGCCCCCCGCCGCTTCCCAGCCCGTCCCGGCGAGGGGCCGGGGCGCCCCAGGGCCCACCTG